CCCCCCAAGTGGCCTTCTTTGGTCAGCTAGTGGAGCAGCAGTGACATGCTGTGGCTGATTTTATAAATCACAGTTCCTTACTCAGGAGGATGTGTTCCATGTCAAGTTTGGAGACATCATGAAACAGAACCCCTTTTAAATCGACCTTATTATAAAGTGGACATAAAATGCAGGACACTTTTTCAGTTGAAATAATGTACATTTGGGACAAAAGCAAGTGTGATGAGCAGTAAAGTCTTTGAGATTTTTATCATTAAGTTATCATAATTTGTTAATATTTTGCTTATTTATGTACTAAGCAAACTGTTTTTTCTTTCCTACCCACCCCCAGGCTAGACTATATGAATTCTGCCAGGAAGAATCCAGTGACAATGACCAGTAATGAATCAGAAAACAGTGAAGGAATAAAAGAACCATTGTTTGATGTTGTGAAAGAAACTGTAGAACTGAAAGCTCCCCAAGATGGAAGTGATTGTTCGTTTCTGGGACTGTTTGAAGATGAGAGCAAACCAATCTATAACAATCCTTCCACAAAGCATTTTAATCCTTTTGTTAACCAAAGCGGTACTGCCATTTTTTTCATTGATCCTGATGACAGAAATCAAATGACCAACAGCAATTATCCTTATGATACTACAGAGGCTTATCCTGCAATCAATGCAAAAAAAAATTCTGTAGACAGACACCTTGAAGGCATTTTCACAGCTCCAGAACACGTTTTACTTAAAAGTAACAATGCCTCAAATGCAAGCTACATGAAAACCAGTGGACTTCATAAAACCTGCCTGCAGGACTATCATGAGGGACAGCACTACTTCATACCCTCTGAAAAGAAAGAAAAACCTGCAAACCTTGAAAAAATTGGTGCGTGTCAATATCTTAAGGACATAAATTCTGGTTTTTATTCTCCTTTTAAAGACATATGGTTTTATAACTAGAGATGTGTCTGCCCTGACTGAAAACATGTCATGAATCTTCAGAATGCAGTAATTTAGTTTTAAATCCAATTATTTAAATTATTTTTTAAAGCTGACAGAAGCATTTATTTTAATTGTATTTATGCTATGTGTCTTAAAATCAAGGTTTACATTTTTATTTCAGAGACATTTGCTTATCGCCATGATCAGCGGATTAACATAAAGGAGAATGTGCAGAACTATTCAAGAAGAAGAAGGTGAGTGCCATAGAAATTATCAATCTATTAACTAGTGATAACTGCAGAGACCTTGCTGAATTGGAGAAATCCTGCTAAGGGGACGTGAAGGCGAGATTCTAAAGAGTATTACTGAGGACACAAATTTTCCCACTGAAAATAGTAGTGAATAATATGAATAAACTTATGCGCAGGTAAGCCCTTTGTACCATTGTTCATCTACCTGTAATAACTGCAGAGAAAGACTGCTTCATGGGACAGTTTTGAGTCCCTGAAGTTAAGCTGTTGCTCTGACTTGCCCTCTAAAAGACCTTGTCTCCTTCCACTGACTAAGAGGAAGTTAGTGTCTTCCCTGGGCTAAAGTTAGCATATGTGAGTGCTCCATGTTTTAGAAAATGCAGTTTTATCCAAGACTCTGATCCATAACACCTTCCATTTTACAAAGTAGCACTATCTTTTGTCATCTCTCATACTACATTTTGCATTTCAACAGAAATGAAGTTTGTGAAAAACAGATTCTTGGTGTTAAATCTCAGGTTCAGAAATAAGTTCAATGATCTCAATAGTGGGAACCATTTCATGGTTATTGGGGACAAAATAAAAATTGAAGACAAAGTCAGAATGTGCTGGTTTTGACTGGGATAGAGTTAATTTTCTTCATAGTAGCTAATATGCGGCTATGACATACCAGTAATGACTTTAATTCAGAAAGAAAATAAAAGTACAGGAGGGGAAATCACTTACCAGAGAACTCTGTGTTTGCATCCCTCAGTGACGACAGGTCTGTGAAAGAATCAGCCTGGAGACAGAACCAGCTCTTTGGATTTGAAGAGGTAACTTTTAAAAGAGGTGTATTTTTTGTCAAACCTATTGTTTGCACTATTCATTTGAGGTGGAGAAAGAATGTCCACAACAGTTAGAAACTGAATTTAGCTGCACTGAATTAACTTCTGTGGAAGCTTCTTTTCCATCATGGTTTATATAAGGAATCCAGAAAGAGGAGCTTCTAGTTAAGTGGTTCAGATAGATAGCCCTTTCAGGTCCATAATTTACATGGTTTGATTCACACCTAAGCTGATGCCTGAAATACATTGTGTAAGTAGGTTACCTGTTAACCCTTAGGATCAGGTTCTGCAGGCAGTGCCCAGCCATTATATGCAGGACACTTTGGTCTTATCAAGGAGCTTTATGCCAGTATACATATAAAGAATCTTTCAGATATTTTGCCCATAGAAGTCACCCAGGTACACCCAGTATTGCTCAGGGGTTTTGTGCCTCTTAAAATAATTTGTGGTACAGTGCAGTGACTCCTGTATGTAATACAAAACCTGAATGTTCCTCACTTAACCTGAGGTGCTGATCCAGCTGAATCCTCACTATTAACACTTAATTATTTTTACAAGTTCACAACAGCACAAG